AAGAAAATGAGATAACCATAAAAGAAAATTAAGAGAAGTAAAGGGAGAAATAGTGAGAAGTTGGAAAAAGAGTAATAAGATATGAAGTTGAATACATAAGATGAATATGCATATGGGACTTCCAGTTTGAGCTTCTTCGGCGACAGACCGAAATCTTGTCTCTGCAAGGCTTCGATCCGTGCTCGAAGGGGGAGACTGCCTGCAGGGTTGAGGAGAGCCGCATCTCTCCTCCCCAGCTGGCCATTACTCCCTTTCCCGAAGGCGGTTGTAGCGGTGGTCAGAAATGGCCACCTCAAAGAAGATCTTGACCGGAAAAGAATGTGCAGAAGGAAGATAAGAAGAGAAAGTTTTGATTGACCAGGTCAAAAGCAACAAATAAGGTACCCTGCAATTGAAACTATTAAAAAACAATAACATTGTTCCCTAAGAAGATTTTTAAGCTGCGAAGGAGAGAGAAAAGGGAAAAGATTTGGGGTTTTTTTCTCCTTTTCCTATACTGACAGCTAAGAGACTTAAGCAAGAAATTGGGAAAAAATCCACTTTGACATTAATAGGCATTTAATGCTGAAAATAAAAAGTCAAAGGGATAATAAAGATTTCTGGATAATTAAAAGCTTTTGAAAACAGGAAAGGAGAGAAAAAGAATAAAAGGGCAGGAACTGGAAGGGAGGAGACTGCCTGGAATTAAAAAGAACTCACAGCAAAATCTCAACAAGACTTCCAAAAGATACATTTTAACTGAAACATCGCAACAAAAATCCCAGGAAGAGAAAGTGGAAAAAGAAATAAGAAGAAACAGCCTGGGACTATTTGGATTATTTGATGATCTCTGGATTTTTGGTTATTGTATTTGAATGACTAAAATCAATCGGGTGGTTGTTTAAAACTGTTTAAAATGGCTTCACTTTTAGAAGAACTGAAAATGGAACTTAAAAAGTACAAAGAAGATGCACAAGAAGGGAGAGGTTCTTTTGGCTTCGTATTTCAGTTGGATGGAGATTTGGAACTATGAGAAACAACAAGAAATGCCTGCAGAACAAGAAGATTGCGACAAAGAAGAAGCCATCTTTAATGAACAAGTAATCTTAGGTGGGGGGAAAAAAAGGAAAGGAGGGAAAGAGAATGGAAAGTTTAAGATTGGGAAAAACAAAAAATAGAGTGAAAAATAAGTATAAAATCAGAAAGCAACAGAAGAGGGAAATGCAGAAGAGAGAATTAGAAGTAGGGAGACTAGGGGGTAAAAAGGGGAGGGAGAAGATGACAGGGAAGAAAGAAAGGAAAAGAAGTTATAAAGGACAGAAACAAAATATAGAGAAACAGGGCCTATTTACAGATAATGGGTGAAAATTTAATGGAAAAAGGGATTCTGCAAAGGTCCACAAGATAGTATTGTTATATTAGAAATAGAAATAATTTTAGAAAATATGAAACAATGTATGATTAAAATGTTTGATAAAATAGCTATCGTAATTCAGTGGAATGCTTGTCAATAAATAAATGTAACAAAATGAATATTTAATGATTTACAAAACATACGTGAAGAGAAATAAGGGAAAAATTATTTATGGAGATTATACGTGTCTTTAAGGAAGTATGATATTTAATTGAAAAGAAATGTTAAAGATGTTAAGATTTTAATGATTATTAATGATGGAACTGAATTGGAATGGAATGAGGGTTTATAATTACATATATTTATAATCCTTTTTTTTTTAAGAATATAGTGTGTATTATAAGATTGTACCAAGCAGAATTTGATTGGAAGTTATGTATTATGTATTATATTGAAGGTCATAACCTTAAGGTATATATTGAAGTTTAAATAAGAGTTGAATGGATGTACTTAAAAGATATAAAGGTGTCATACTCCAATTAGATTTGTTTAATGAGAAAAGATAATATGAAATGGAAACAGAACAGACAAAAGTATAAATATAATGATTTGAATTGAGATGAGATAATCAAAATAAAATTGAGAAAATTAAGAGGGGAAAAACTATATAGAAAATGTAGAATAGTATAAGATATGGAATAGTACACAAAAAGGAGCATGAAATTGAGTTTTGTGTCTGTATAAAGAAGTTCAGCCCGAGACCATGCTATTTTCAAAAAAGATGTTTTACTTGAATTTGTATGTGTGAAAACCCAAATAAAACTTTATTTTAAAAAAAGATGAATAAGCATATGAAATTGTGTCTGTATGGAAATGTGATAACCCAGAACCATGCTGTACTCAAATAAGATGTTTTATTTGTTTTGTTAAAACTCATTAAAACTTATTTAAAAAGTTCAATTATATTAATTTTATGAAAATACTGCCTCACAGAGAAATTAACTCCTAATATTAAACATGAAGAAGCATTCTACAATGTCAGACTAAAAGATTTTAATCAAATAAAACTATATTAAATTACCAGGCTTGAGGTTAAGCCCAATCAAGTTTTTTAGCCCAATTATTCTAACCATATATTAAGTATTCCATTGTGGCTTATACCTCGGTAAATCTCTTTTATTTGCTTTGTTATATGCATGTTTTTGCTCCTACTTCTTTATTAGCGGGCCAGATATGTTATTTATTTGGGCAGCTATGTAAATTTGAAGAATATCGTTGAAAAGCATGGCATATGCACAACACCTTCTTTAACAGGATCTATTTTTATAAATGTCTTTGTATCCAGCACCTTATATTCAAAAACTTAAGACTGATAAGCATTTTTACTGACAAAATCTGAATGCCTACAAAATAAAATAGCAGGGTTCACTGCATTATTTTAAAACAAAAAGCAAGCCAAACACATTTGGCCTAGAACCATGATGGTGAACCTATGGCACACGTGCCACAGGTGGCACGCAGAGCCATTTGTGCCGGCACCCGAGCTGCAGGCAAGCTTACCTCACTGGGTATGTGCACGCCTCACAGCTGATTTTTCGGCCAGTTTGAGGCCTTTTTCGGCCTCTCAAAGGCTTGAGGAAGGCTTCTGCAGGCTTCGCGGGCCAGAAACTAGCCCCCTTTCATCACTTCCTGTTTTTCCGAAAATACCCGAAATGATGAAACAGGGCTAGTTTTTGGCCTGCAAAAACCTGCAGAAGCCTTCCTCAAGCCTTTGGGAGGCCGAAAAAGGCCTCAAACCGGCCGAAAATTAGCTGTGAGGCGCAGTCCAGGTAAGAGGGCAGCAGGGGTGGGTGGGTGGGGATTACGCATGCATGCGTAGGGAGGCACACATTGCCTTTCTGTCTGCTGGCACGTGAGTGCGAGCGTGCAAGCGCACACAATTTTTGGCACAGGAGCCCAAAAAGGTTAGCCACCACTGGCCTAGAACAATACACAGACACAAATGACTGTTATCTGTTTACCCACCAGGTTATACTACTTACTGCCAATGCAAGACTGAGAATTGATGCTTCATAGTTAAAACTGTGCACTACTTTGTAGGAAGTTGTACTGTAAATCTTCACGTGCCTAAAAAATAAAATATCAATACCATAGTCAGCCCTTTGCTGTAATTTTGTCAATACAGGTAGTCCTTGACTTACAACCATTTGTTTAATGACCGTTTGAAGTTACAATGACATTGATAAAAGTGACATTTCCATTTTTTACATTCACAACCATTGGACCTCCCCATGGCACATGATCAAATCTGGCTGCTTGGCAACTGGCATGCATTCATGGTGGTTGCAGTATCCTAGGGTCATGTGATCACCAAACTTCTGACAAGCCAGATTCACTTAACTGTGTTACCAACTTAACAACTGCAGTGATTCACTTAACAACTGTGACAAGGAAGGTTGTAAAATGGGGCAAAACTCACTTAACTGTTGCTTAGCAATATAAATTTTGGGCTCAGTTGTGGTTTTAAGTCAAGGGACACCTGTATTTAATAAAATAAAGTACACAATGTAGCATATTATTTAATAGCCTTAACTGAGCAGTTACTTTTCCTACTGCTTCAGCAGGCAAGACCAACTTTTTTTTCTTTGAAAGATGGAATATACCTGAAACAACAACTCCCAAAGTCCCCTCTCTTCCCAGTCAAACACTGAAGAATATCTCCAGGCTTTTTACACATGATGCCATGACATCATCAGCCCTTCAGGGATGTGAATGAAAAATAATTTCAAAAGTTACCTCAAGTTGTCAAAGTGATCCCTATATCACTTATTTATGCAGTTGCCATACAAACATCTGTATGTATGGTTGCAACTCTATGTACCCTTCTTGTTTAATGAGTTTCTTTGTTCATATATATGACTAAAATGGTCATATTTCCTATCCAGCTAATGAAAAGACAGCAATCTATTGCTGGCACCAAAATCACATCATTAGACGTCTAGCCCTGATTCTGAGATTCAGTAAGCTTGCAAGTTTCACCTTTGTCTTCAGAAAATGGAAGAAATGCACTCAATACTTTGGGAATGCCACTAAGCTATATGTCCACTTTTCAATTTTTTAATTGAATATGCATTCATTGCACAGAACCATTAAAAGCTTGATAGAAAATGCTGAAAAATACAAACCGATCTAGGGAGCCTGAGAGAAGCCTTTGACCAGAGCTACTCAAACACAAACAGGTTACAGTTTTATGGTGATTTCTCAAGGACACTAATAGCTGGCCTCCTTTAAGAATATCCCAGATTTTAATGTAACGACCACCTGCAAAGTTTTTAAAAATAGTAATTTATACAGACATTTTGGAAGGCAATACCCATAATTTATTTCTCTTCCCAGTCTATTAATTACCCCCTTTTTACTAACAAAATAGCTTTTAATAGATTCAGCACTTTCACTTGGAGCGCAGCAAAAGAAACTAGACTGTAATCTAGAAAAGGCTTGTAAATCTCAGCATGCATTAAGCAGTCACAGGGACTTCATATCTGCCCCATCCCATGCTTGTGTAATGAAAACAACAACTGAGAAACAGAGTTTTTGCATATGGAAATAAAAACAGGATGTTTTGTTTAAAATAAAGATGGCAAAAAGAGATAGAAAAAAAAACCCCTTCTGATTGAAAGAAATACCTGCTGTCACAAGAAGACCTTCAGAAGGAAACAGATTAACACTTTCAACTGGTTGCCCATGTTCTATCTTCATAATGCTTTTGTCTGTCCGTGTATCATATACTTTCACTGTATGGTCGTAGGAACCTAGAATGTATGCCAGAAGAAGAAAAGATTTAGTGCGAACAGCACATGTGCTTTTCTTCAGACTTAAAACACAACCTAACTTTGTTAGTACTTTAACACAAAGGAATGGGGTTTGTTGGCTTTTTATGTGGCAGCTTGTCCTACTTGTCTCGATTAAGCTTGTTGTAGTTTAGGTGCCTGTTTCTAACTGCCCAATTTGGAAAACTGACAAACTGATTATAAGTAATCCTTGATTTACGACAATTAAGCTCAAAATTTCTGTGGCTAAATGAGGCAGTTATTAATGGAATTGCACCTCATTTTATGACTTTTTGCCCGTTGTTAAATGAATCACTGCAGTTAAGTGAATCATGTAGTAGTTAAATGAATTTGGCTTCCCTCATTGACTTTGCTTTCAGAAGTGGCTGGGAAGGTTACAAATGGTCATCACATGATCCTGGGGCAATACAACCATCATAAATAATCCAAGTTGCCAAGCACCTGGATTTTGATCACGTGACCATGGGGATGCTACAGCAGTAGTGTGAAAACCATTCACGGGTCACTTTATCAGTGCTTTTGTAACTAGTCACTAAATGAATGATTGTAAGTCAAGAACCAACCTGCCTTCAATCAAGGACCTGTATACTGCATGAGTCAAAAAGAGGGCTGTGAAAATATGTACAGACCCCTCACATCCCGGACATAAACTGTTTCAACTCCTTCCCTCAAAACGACACTATAGAGGACTGCACACCAGAACAACTAAACACAAGGACAGTTTTCCCCCGAAAGCCATCAGTCTGCTAAACAAATAATTCCCTCAACACTGTTCAACTATTACAAAGTCTGCACTACTATTACTGTTAATCTTCTCATCACTCCTTATCACCCATCCCCTCCCACTTGTGACTGTATGACTGTAACTTTGTCGATTTATATTGACTGTTTCCTAGTATGATTTGATTGCTTATTGTACCCTATGACTATCATTAAGCATTGTACCTTATGATTCTTGACGAATGTATCTTTTATGTATACTGAGAGTATTTACACCAAGACAAATTCCTTGTGTGTCCAATCACACTTGGCCAATAAAGTATTCTATTCTATTTTACTGGCTGTCTTACAATGTATGTCTTACAAACATTAAAAACAATAAAACAAACTCAACAACAACCAAGTTTTCAACATAAAATGTCTTATAATCTAAGGTCAAATGTGCCATCTAAGGATTTCATGTTCTGATTCCAAAATGTCTGCAGAATTTTTGAATTACCAACCTACAATTATGATTGTCATTCTTACCCCCCCCCAAAAAAAATAATGAAATACAGAGCAGAAAACCAAGCTGAATCAGGAAAATCAATATATTTGAACATAAATAAGAAATTTATAATTAGGATAATATTGTAACGGTAATGAAAACATCATTCAGGAAGTCATTTTGTCACAAGTAAATGTAAGGTTAATCACCAACCTGTTACAAAAAGATCTGCATTCAGTTTACTAGTACAGCCACATCTTACATAATCTGTGTGTTCTTTGTAGCAGGCTATTTCAGATGAAGTTGAAACATCCCAGACCCGTGTCGTGTAATCATCTGCTCCAGACATTATTCGGTACTTATCAGACAGAAATCCTACAACGTGGACTGCTCTATAAATCACAATAACAAAAAACAATAAATATAAGGCCATTTCAATTTTTTGCTGTAGTCAATACACCACCTTCAAAGCATGAAACACACTGTATATTCTACTATTTCAGAGTACTGATTAGCATGGTTTTCTGAATTATGTGAAGATTATCTGAGATACTTAAAGTCTGGATCTGAAATCATCTCTATTGTTTAAAATTAATTAACACAAGACTTGAGAACAATACATTAAAGATCTAAGAAAATAATCTTTATAAATAGGTGGAAGCTGTCCATCTAATTCACATAGCAAATACAAATAAAATGGCTGAGTTCACTCATCAAGGTAACAATGATCCAGTTATTCTGGGTTAAGCATGATGTGCTAAACAGGATATTATATGCAGCTTATGGGCCAGAGTTAGTTCGGATTTGAGCACCCTATAAAATTTGCAAATAAAAAACTAAACTTTAATTAGCAAATTAAATATATTCAACAATTCATATTTTAAAATTCTGTACTATTCATAAAAAGAGACAAACTGTAGCCACACTTTTAAAACATACAATTTTGAAAACACTGCTTGGATCAATAGTCAAATGTTTCCAGGTTGTTAATATTTTCAGTAACATTAATTAAAACCAAAATAAATAATCAGGTTTTCTGTCACAATTAAATAAAATCAGATCTAATGCAGCAAAAGTGAATGTGAAAAATATATGCCAAAAGACTACATTTTACATATACATACACGAATAATTTTTAAATCAATGCACTGTGACTAATGACATTAATAGACATAATGATAACTTACTTATAAATACTATATTTGCAACATAATTAACACGTTTGTTGACTAGCTGAGAAAACAGATGCTTCAAATATGTTTTCTCACATCTGAAATTTCAATTACTCCGAAGTACAATTGTAGATTGAAACAATTAGGCAATGAATCAAGTACTGTCATGTTCCCATACTTACTTGGAGTGGCCTTCAAATTGTCTTAATGGTGCTCTCCCACCAATGTCAAAGATCCGAACGCTGCCCTCTTCACTGCCAGCAACAAGCAGTTGCCCATCCTCTCGATAGGTAGCACAATAAGCTACATCTTTGAAGCGAGAAAATGTTTTGATTGGCTCTTGTGAATATCGCCCATATATGTGAATCTAAAACAACATATAATGCACAAATTTTCATTCAGAATAACACTGGAAAAAGCCAAAAGCTTTGTTGCTTATGGTCTCAGTTATTGCAAGAATCATTATCCATGTGCCCTACGCCAAAGTCAATAACCATAACCTTCTGACTCTCATTGCACAGATATTGGTGTGGCCAATGTGAAATGGCCAAAAAGTAACTCTGGTTTGTAGCAATGTCTATACTATGGGATTATAAAAGCCCTTTCCATATAACAGAACTGAATTTCCTATGCATGTTTTTGCCTCCTTCAGCAAATGGACATATTTATTCTACTGCAGTAAAAATAGGATGATACAGCAAGTGAATTTGCAGAAATACACCATTCCTGTAATATAAAGTAGAATTAGAATGTGAAAAAATGTAGATATTTTAAAGCAAAATTTAACTTAAATCTTACCCTTGATGAGGCTGTGACAGCATAATTATATGGAGGAACTGGAGAAAAGTCTATTTTATTCACTGCACCAAATTCCTTTATCTGAATGGGAGTCTGAACAAAGATAGTACATTAAACATTATTATCCTTTTTAAGGCAAAGTTATTAGAAAACTATTTACTATCTAAGGCAGGACTATCTCACACTCTCCTGATTTCTAGCCTGGTGCCTTAACCACTAGACTAAACTGGCTCTCAAAAATTAACATTAACATATTTTGCATAATTGCTGTAGTTTTGTAAAATGTAGGTTAAATTATTGCAACTTCAACTATCTCACCCAGACTGTAATGCAATCAAGTTGTCTGGCATTTATGGGGGATGTTTGGATGAAATCTGATCCATTGATTCTAAAGTTAGCTAAACTGAGGATTCATTAAATCAAGGTTCATCCATGAATGGGAGAATGCAGAAGTGATATACAAATTTTGCATTTTTTCTTTTTTCACTTAAAAAAATCAAATCAGGTAATGCTAAAAGTGTGTAGAGATTCTCAGTCATCCTGGTTATAGTTGTCCCAAAGGTTCTTTTTCAAGAGGCAACCATTCCATTCCCCATTATCTTGTCAGAGCTAAAGAAGCTTCTTGGATAAGAAGCGAAATGTCTTCAAAAGAAAAAAAAAGTCCAGTTGCCTGCTGAAAAAGCACCTTTGGGACAAATCAAGTAATATTTACAAAGAATTTCAGTTTCAGTTCCTATAATTAACTACAGTATGTGTTATTACCTTATAATTCTTCCAATACAAAGTATCTTTTGTAATTTTTTCTCCAAGCTTGGGAAATGTCTGAACTATTACAGGCTTGTAATTTGCCATTGTTTCTTAAAGGAAATTTCTCCAGGAGCAGAAAGCAATCTTCTATCTGTAAACTTCATAGGGCTAGAATTTTCTAAAAAGCAAACAGGTTGTTTCAAATAAAAAAACAAGTAAATAGACAATTCTCCAATCTTCTTTTATCTAAAATATGAATGTGCAAAATAAATCTTAGAATTCAAATTACTGTTGGGGACTAACCTGTTTCATTCATTTTGAAATGGGAGGTGGTAACATTCTACAATAATCTACACTATATTTGTTACATAATCTAAAATAAGTATTCTATTTCTAAGAAGATATTGGATAACCATTTATCTGAAATGAAATAGGATTTCCTGCTTGAACAGGGAATTAGAACACAAGACTTCCAGGGTATGTTTTAATTCTGTTATTCTATTACACTTTTCCATTCAAGTTTTTTTTAAAATCTGAAGATTTATATTTTTCCTTAGAGACAATAGTTACAAGCTCTGAAGAGGGATGTGAGCAAAAGTCTCAATGTCAACAATCACATACATAGTAAATTGCAAATGATAATTTATAGCTGATATATTCAGAGTTCATGAACTGTGTTTATGACCATACAGGTTTTATGCTCAATTAGTAAATATTAATAAATAAATAATAAAGGGGGTGTGCATAAGCGCACCAGCGTGCCCTCCCTGTCTTATTGTCCCCATTTATCTGTATTTACTTTTGTTTTTGTTTATGATCATACTTATACTTGTTATCTTGTACATGTTTGACAAACAAACAAATAAAAAATAAAATAAAATAAAATTCTGCCCACCCCCCTTTTCCATTTTAAAAGAAATCAGATTGGTAACAGATAACACGGGGCACTTTTTTCTTATTGCAGTTACTTTTAGAATTTATTGATAGCAGAAATGCCAGTGGACAACTGCTCCAAGGAACTTTATTCAGAAGCAACATTGCCCCAAATACCAATGATTGCAAACATGGGAAAGCGCTGCTTTCAGAATTCACTTGAAGGCTTCCTAGGACAACCTGCACAACAATGCAGGCAAACAAGGAAGCGTTAATCTACTCTAATGCTCCTGCAGCATTTTCTGGAAGGGAGACGACAAGGTGGGGAAAGTAGAGTCTGTTCCTCCTCTGCCTTCCTTGCCACTGAAACGCTACCGTCTACCTATATTAAGAGAGGAGGAACTGAGGCCGGAAAATGCAACAGCTATTCCAGGAGAAGGAAACCATTCTGTTTTCAGAGGCGGAGGGGGGGTCTTTCGCATCTGTGGGAGTCCCCCCTGCAATCAGATCGCGGTTACCTGGTCCTCCGGTTCCTCACTCTCACGCTGCCACCGAGGGAGCCGCCATCGCAGCGCAAGTGTAGCGGCTCCGAATACGTCATCACAGCGCGCCTCCTCTCTAACTTTTGCGGCGGCCTGGCACAGGGCGACTGTTTTTCTCATTCGCTGCCGCTTTCGCGCTCCTTTCCGCTTATTTTTTTCATTCCTCTGCCAGAAGGGGGCAGAATAAGCCGGAGGGAAACGGCTTTGCGGTTCCTCCCTGTCCTCGACAATTGTTTTTTTGTATTTTTTTTAAAATAGGGGGTTGCGTTGCTCTAAATTTTCTCCATTCTTAATCCAGAACGTCTTCCTTGTCTTGAGCTGAGCTTCTCTTGAGCAAACCTCCAAGACAGGGGTCTCCAACCTTGGCAACTTTAAGACTTGTGGACTTCAACTCCCAGAGTTCCTCAGTATTGCCCTCTCGCGGCCTTCTGGAAGCTTGCAGCCCAGCTGACGGGTAGTAACCGGAGCAGCAGAGCCGGCCCCCGTTTCTGAGTCTCCTGTTGTGCTTCGGCGGAAGTGACGTCATGGAGCGGAATCGCAACAGCTGCGACTGGGCGCTGCAGCGCGGCGAACGAAGCGAGACAATGGAGTTGAAGGATGCCGTGGTGGGAGACGAAGGGTTCGGCGACCTGTGGAAGTGAAGCCGGAGAGGTGGCGGGAACAGACGCGTCCGCTCCATAGAGCGAAGTTTAGATCGGAGAGAGAGACCCGGGTCGGCTTAAGTAAGCCGGGTCTGCGAAGGGGAGGTCCTTCTGCTAGATGCCGGTTCTGCAAGTGGGGAGGTCTCACAGGCATCCTATTTAGGGCATTTAAATTGGTTGCAATTGTGTCGCATTCATGCGGCAACAAACAATAACTTAGAGGTGTCCGATGGAAAGATACAGGCAGTCCTCAATTTACGACCACAATTGAGCCTCATGTATGTTGCTAAGTGATACTTTTTCTAATTTGCCCCGTTTTACACCTTTTCTTGCCACATTTGTTAAGTGAATCACTGCAGTTCTTCAATTAATAACATGGTTGTTAAGTGAATCTGGTTCCCCATTGATTTTGCTTGTCGGAAGGTCACAAAAGGGGATCACATGACTCCTGGACACTGCAGCCGTCATAAATGTGAGTCAGCTGTCAAGCATCTGAATGTAAATCATCTGACCGTGGGGATGCTGCAAAGGTCAAAAGTGTGGAAAATGGTCATAAGCCGTTGTAACTTTGAACAGTCACTAAATGAATTGTTGTAAGTCGAGGACTGCCTGTACTGGTTTTGTGTTGCAATTCATAGGGAGCCTTCCTGAAAAAAGAAAAATACTGTGAGATAAGATGAGGACCCAGATTGTTGGGGGCAATAAGCTGACTCTGTAAACAGCTTAGGGAAGGCCGTAAAGTACTGTGAAGCGGTATAACTGTGAAGTACTGTTGCTATTATGAAATGTGATGTTTCATGTATGTTCTGTAAGCTGTCTTTGTTTACATGTTTTCCCCCAAAAGAACTTAATGGAATGGAATGGTTTTAAAAGTGGAATTTAAATGTAGTTTTTTATCTAAAATAATTGTCATGTTCAGGATGCATTAGCCCTGCCTATAGTGAAAGCAGCAACGAAACTGGCAAAGATAAGTCCCCAAAGTACTCTGCCATGGATGTTTAATATGTATCTCTATGTGAGATCATCAGTCACTGTTTATGAAAAGAAGTCCTTCTCAATTTTTAAAACTTCTATCAGGAACTGATTTATTCCCTTGTAACATAGTAAAAATCTGATTTGAATCGAGTCCAGTATAGAAATTTTAGAGGCTATCTTGGGATTTTCCTTATGTACAGAAGATGGAGAATATTCTACATTATTCAGAATTAATTAGTTGTTTATAGTAGTGACTGCTATTTTTTGCACAGTAAACTGAATCAGAGTTCAGTGTTCTAATTTACTGGTATTTTGTTTCCAACTATAGATTATTAGAAATCTCAAACACTAATACTGAAAAAAAGAATACATCAAATACCTTGAGAAACAGATTACATAATTGAAATTCAGATCATGGAGTCTTCAACCAATCTAGATGCTGATACCCAGCTAATTGTGGAAGATTGTGCTGGCACCTTTAGCTTGTCTCATATGCCAGATATTAAAGTTGAACATCACCTTGAGTCCAGTGTGGAAGAAGGACCACCTCAGAGTGTTACCATGGGAATGAAATTCATCTTGCCCAATAGGTTTGATATGAATGTATGTTCTCGATTTGTCAAGTCCTTGAATGAAGAGGATAGCAAAAATATTCAAGATCAAGTGAATTCTGACCTTGAAGTGGCTTCAGTATTATTTAAAGGTCAGTTTTTCAAAAAAAATTCAATAATGGTATCAAGGGAAATGAGTATATGGGTGTAGTTGAACAATGTATTTTTTTTATAAAGAATGGACTTAAATTTGATTTGATGTTCCATCTTATCTGACCCAACATTTTTCCTGTTTTCTTTGCTATTATTTATTTATTATGTATTTATTGTACATTATTTTTATAAATGACTCAAGGCAGCAAGTATATCTAATATTCTTTCCTTCTATTTTTGTGGAAAATTTGTCATTTTTCTGCCATTCTTATATGTAAAGTGACCTGAACGTTCCACATTTATGGATTGACTTAATATTTAGTCTCAGATATATACACAATAATTTAGGAATAAAAATACAAGGTCCTGCTATTTTCTATTATGATTGGGTCTGTCCAATCCAAGCTACTAAATAGAGTAATATTTATTTCATATGGCTGCCCATCTCACTCTGGGCGGGGAAACAACATTTAAATAATAATTAAAATAATGCAAACATTAAAATATATGGCAGCCAAGAATAAAGCACCCATGGTATTATAATGACTATATTAACTACAAAACAGGTCCTTGCATATACTTGTGTTCCCAGTCATATTGGTCATACCTAATCCCAAACTGTCAGATGACCTCACCCAGCAGTTTCATGTAGATTATAAACAAAAGGGGAGAAAGAACGAAGCCCTGAAACATTGCACAAGTACGGACTAAGGATTGGACTTCTCCCCTCTTATTAACACCAACTGAAACAGACCTTTGAGAAAGGAAAGGAACCAACACAGCACAATGCACCTACCCCCAATTCCCTAGTATAGTGGAAGTGGGATGGAGCTAGGATGGCTCCATCCCACTGCTACTACAGGCCATTCAAAGTGTGATCAATGCCATCTTTTTCCTATACCATGAGCAGAATCCTGATTAAATATTTCTTTCAGTCAGATAATTAGATTATCATTACAAGCTAGGATCCAAAAATATTTTAGCAGATTATCTTCAGGCATATTATGAAGGTTGCCTACATAATCTCATTTGCCTTAAGTTGCCTGAGTCTATGGTTTATTTTGCATTTTACATTTGTCCTTCTAACTATGCAAATGTTGAACTGAGGATAAGCTCTGTTGTTATCTAAATAAAGCATGAAACAACCACATTGCTTCATATAATAAATTATTGTTATACCATATGACATTCTGACAGTAGTTTTTTTTTTTACCTAGCTGAGTGCAACATCCACACTTCTCCTTCTCCTGGGATTCAAGTGAGACACGTCTATACTCCATCAACTACTAAGCATTTTTCACCTATCAAGCAGTCAACTACTTTAACTAACAAGCACAGAGGAAATGAAGTTTCTACAACACCTTTACTTGTAAACTGTACGTGTTTCTCTGTAGAAAGAATTAAGTTTGAGAATAGTCCCAGAAATACATATTGATACAGAAGTCCTCAGGAGCCTTCAAGCTACTTTGGCTGCTTTCTACCACAGACCCAGAGATGTACTTTACCAATTGAAGATAATATATATAAACCTTTAAATTAAAACATCTTAAATAAACCAAAAGACTAAATAGCCTAAGGAAGAAAAACAGAAGTCCTACAGCATACAATGTCAGGACTGTAATAGCCATTATATAGGACAAGTAAGTAGAAGACTAGCAGAGGGTATTCATTGCTGCCATCTAGCAATAAAAACTTAATCTCACAATGCATGAACAGACTCAACCTAGTTTCAACTGAGAAACTGCATCCTAAACCAAAATAAATCCAAAATCACTAGGGAATTCATTTAAGTTGGCACTTAGACAAATTAGCCATCAATAGACACATATAGGTAGTCCTAACTACAACCAGTTGCTTAGTGACCATTTGAAGTTATGATGGACCTATCTTGGGGCTTTTTATGACCTGGATTCAAAATTCCAACTGACACAGCAGTCGTGACAGAATTGAGGCACTTGGCGACATGGCTGCATTTATGGTTATTTGCAGCTCCCCACAGTCACATGACTACATTTTATATTTTGTCAAAAATCACATCCATAGGGAACCATTGCTTTACTTAACCACAGCAAAAAGGCTGTAAAATCAGGTTGGTCATGTAACTGACCCATTTTAAAATTGCCACGATTTATGACTATGATGGGCAGGCTCTATTAAAGTCATAAATTGAAATTGTAAAGATAAATCGCATTTACCTACCATTCAAAAGAGAAAATAAAGCCAAGAAGGAAACAAAAAGACCAGAATACATCCTGTTCAGTAGTCAACATTCAGATAAATAGGGATTAATTCCACACAAGCGGAAAACAATACTGTAATTAATAAACTACAGTACCAGAAAGAAAACCACATCTCCATCAATACTAGCAGGGCAAGGTACTGTATATAAATAGAGCAAATTCCACCCCCACAAGCATTGATGCTATGTAGTTGGATAATAAAATATCTGCAAGCAAACAACCAAACTCTGCATCAAGAATTCCACACAAGTGCTTTACTCAGGAAAGATATATTGTAAAACTTGTACAGCCATGTTGCTTTATAGCAATGAAAGATACAGCCATATTGCTTTGTAACTGAACTATTACTAAAGTGAAGCTCTCACTTTCTTAATATATGTCCTACCAGTATCTAACCCTGTGATTGGCTTCATATACCAAACCAATGTGAGAATTGGTGGGTTTGATTATAGTTCAATGTGTGAACCTAAGTGATATAGTATAATAAATGTAGTTAAAGGCAAACCATATCTTAGTACAATTTGTAGTATAAACCTAATTTATGTGTCTGTGGATTCCTGGTTATCCACCGAATTTAGTTATTTACTGAATTGTTAATATAGTTTTCTGCTATTTCCTTTGCAGCTCTGTCTGTTCACCAGCTGGCAGCTCAGGGAGAAATGTTATATTTAGCTACACGTATAGAACAAGGTAAGAATTTATCTCTGGATTTTTCTGGGGTTTTTGGCAGAGATAATATGGTGCTAGGTGGGGTCTGTACCAGGGCTCTTTTTTAAAGAAAGTTTCCATTTCTTCCTTGCATTCATTATTTTTCTCCAGCTGCTTTGAAATAAGTTCAAAATCATTTTAGTTCAATTAATCATGTCAAATCATTTTATATCAGCATTGAGACAAATACTGATATATATACTTAAAACTATGTACCAGTGTTACAGAAAGAAAAGATTTAAAAGCAGTAGATAGTCTTGCATTATGGGACTTCTACATTTTTTTCATTGGGAAAATATATTTATTAGCAAACCTTTTATTATACTACTATGAAATTATTATTCAAGGTATCCTTAATTTTGGTGAATCATATGACATGAGCAAGGGAACATATTTTTTAATAAAAGTTTTACTTATATTGTACAAGCTGCTTCTTATGTCATTGTTCATTTCTGACAGGATTTCTTATGACATTGCTTAAATTGCAGTGTTGTCACAGATAATTTTTTTCTTACCTCTGAGATCAACCTGTGTACCTTTTTGACTATTTGATGAATGTGAACAACTAATAATGAGTGTTTTAGAGTGTTTATATTTTTAATTTCAGCTAGAAATTCTTAGGAATTTTTTTTGTAATAGAGAACTGATGTAGAAATATATATAAAAAGATTTTATCTGATTAAAACATAATTTATTTAAACTAAAAAGAAACAAAAACAGAAAAAAAACTGTTTTAACGTGTCAGACTGATTATGTAGCTCAGACATGGTTGAACCTCCAGCCAAATGGAGATGGAAAGCATATTTTGCAGCCCCCAAAGTACTATGAATGGGATGCAAGTTTTGGCAGCAGTTGGGTAATTCAAGGGCAGAATAAGTGGAAAGAGAGTTCACCTGTATGTTTTGTTGAACAGAAAATGTTATCAATCATATGGATGAAGAAGGCTTTACTCCTCTAATGTGGGCTGCAGCTCACGGGCAAATCGCAGTAGTAGAATTTCTACTCCAAAATGTAAGTGAAATTGTATTGTATTTTATATATGCCTAGTGATGCTACAAGCAGATGTTTCTTTCCATCTGAATGTAAATTGTTAAAGCAGTTGCATCAGTACCAAGAAAATATAAAAACTGAGAAATGAGTATGCAAGTATTATGAATCTGCATTGCAGACTTTAGATTCACAAGCCATATCCCTGTGAGTGAAAATGGTTTCTTTGTCTAGTACAGAGCAAGATTTTCTAACTTCTCCTGCTTTTCTGAAACCAGAAAGGAGTTTATAGAGATAGGCTGGAGGTAAAAAGCATTTCTATCTTCCTCAGCAGCCTATGATCAATTTTTGGATCTTTAGCAACTAGAGAAGTGCAGGAAATTTAACAAGAGGACCATTTGGTTCAGAAAACTTTTGGTTGCTATAAATATATGTAAAACATATAACTAGGAATTTGAATTAGGGATTTTTTAAAAAAATGTATTCTATATTTCTTTATCTCTTGATACAAATTATATAACTGGATATTTAATTTCCACGTTCCTCCGTATTTCAGGCTATACACATGAAGATGGATTTTTTCGTTTAGAATTTTCTGGTGATCTCTAATATTTTGAACCATCTCCTTGTGGTCTGTAATATTTTGGGCAGAGGATTCTTAATTTGTAGGAATCCATTGCTACCTTGTTATCTTTCCAGAATGATAGATTTTCTTTTGGATTTCTTTTGGATGAAATAATTTGCAAGCTGCTTGTTATGACCAGAGCTGTTCTTACCACAATAGATGGTGGCAGCAGAAGTATCAAACTGCTGCCCCAAAACAGATGGTGGGATAATAGTATAAAGACTCAGAACACATCTGGGGAACAAGGTTTAGGACTGTCGGCCTTTTGTGGGCGTCAGTCTCTTTAAGGTATGTAAGTAACATCAGTAGAGCTCAAAGTGTTTTGATCTGCAGTTATAAATGATACTGCATTAGTCTCCTATTAAGTATTTTTCCATTTATAGAAATAATTTCATATCCAGATCGTTAATTGTCCATTTCTCTATTTTCAATATGTCCCTTGTCTAATACTTTCATAGGAGCAATAAATAACCTTTTCCCCAGAATCATATTAAATGATAGATTCATCAGTACTTAAACTATTATTTTGCATTCATGTTCTAAAAGAGGGATAGTGGAAAATACAATGAGTGAAGATATGTGATTATTCTTTAGGAATATAAAGATTATTATTAAAAAAAACTGAAGGGTCAGATTTAAGAAGCAATTACTTTAAACTGCAACAGAGGAAGAGTTATGCATAAGAAGAAAGAGTGGTCCTGTTTCTCTATATCTTGCTCCGGTCCTTTGTAACTTCTTTTCCTTTCCTTCTTCCCTCTCTTCTTCTCTCTCCCCTTTTTACCCCCTTGTCTCTCTACCTCTATTTCTCTCTTCTGTATTCCCCTTTTCTGTTGCTTTCCAGTATTTATTTTTCTTTTCTTTGGTTGTTTTTTTAAGTCTTAAATTCTCCATTCTCTTTCCCCCCTTTCCTTTTTTTCCCCCACATAGAATTACTTGTTCATTAAAGATCTTTGTCCCAGTCTTCTTGTTTTGCAGTCTTTTTTTGTTGTTTCTCATAGTTCCAAATCTCCATTTCTAAGAATTGAAAAACCAAGCCAAAAGAACCCTTCCCTTCTTGTGCATCTTCTTTGTACTTTTTAAGTTCCATTTTCAATTCATCCGGAAGTGGTGCCATTGTATAAATTTTCAAACAACCATCCGATTGATTTTAGTCATTCAGATACAATAACCAAAAATCCAAAGATCACCAAATAATCCAAATACACACAAGCTGTTTCTTTTTTACTCTTTTTTTTCACTTTCTCTTCCTGGGGTTACTATTTAGTTGCAAAGTTTCAGTTAAAATGTATCTTTTAGAAGTCTTGTTGAAGTTTTACTTTAGATTCTTTTTAATTCCAGGCAGTCTCCTCCCTCTTCCAGATCCTGCCCTTATTCTTTTTCTCTCCCTTCCTGCTTATGAAAAAGAAAGTTTTTAATGTCCAGAAATCTTTATTATCCCTTTGGCATTTTGTTTTATTTTCAGCTTAATTGCCTATTGATGTCAAAGCGGATTTTTCTGATTTCTTATTTAAGTCTCTTAGTTGTCAGTATAGGGAAGGAGAGAGAAGAAAAAAAAGCCAAACCTTTCCCTTTTCACTTTGCTTCGCTGCTTCTGACTCTTCTTTGGGAGCGATGTTATTTTTTTGTAAGTTTAAATTCCAGGGTACCTTGGTTGTTGCATTTACAATTTAACCCGGTCAGCCAAAACTTTCACTTCTTATCTTCCTCCTGCACATTTTTTTCCGGTCGAGTTCTTCTTTGTGGTGGCCATTTCTGACCACCGCTGCAACCGTCTTCAGGAAAGGGAGTAATGGCCAGCTGAGGAGGAGAGATGCGGCTCTCCTTGACCCTGCTGGCGGTCTCCCCCCTCTTCACCTCTACGGGGTGGCTTAGCCCCAAAACCAGCCGGCTCAGGGCACTCCAGCGGTGAGCCAAGACAGAAACCGTGCACGATTGCGGATTTCTGTCGCCGAAGCCCTTCAAACAGGACCTATTTAGAGATAATGGGTGAAAATCTAACTGAAAAAGGGATTCTGTAAAGGTACATAAGATTGTATTGTTATATTAGTAATAGAAATAACTTTAGAAAATTGGAAACAACGTATGATTAAAATGAGGGATAAAATAGTGTAATTTAGTGAAATGTTTGTGAATAAAATAAGTGAATAACATATAAGTGAAGGGGGGGAATTAACTATGGAAAGCTTATAATTGTTCCCATAGAAGTATGATATTTAATTGAAAAGTAATGTTAAAGATGTTAAGACTTTAATGAATATTAATGATAGAATTGAATTGGAATGGAATGTTGTTTTAATTATATACATTTATAATTTTTTTCTTTTTTTAAGAATACAGTGTGTATTTTAAGAATGTACCAAGCAGAATCCGAATCAAAGTTATGTATTATATTGAATGTTACAACTTTAGGGAAAAGATATAAAGGCGTCATACTCCAATCAGTAACTACAGGAGAAATTTTGTTTAATGAGAAAAGATAATAGATAATTGAAACAGGACAGACAAAAAATATAAATACAATGATTTGAGTTGAGATGAGATAATTAAAATAAAATTGAGAAAATTAAAAGAGAGAAGCTATGCAGAAAATGTAAAATAGTAATAAGATATGAAATAGAATATAAAAATGAGCATGAACCTGAATTTGTGTCTGTATGAAGAAATGTAACCTGGGATTATGCTGCTTTTAAAAAAGATGTTTTATTTGTATTTTTTTTCTCTTTGTGAAAACTCAAATAAAATTTACAAAAAAAAGAAGAAGAAAGAGTGGCTCATTCAAGCAAATTATTCCTTGGCTGTTTGGAGACGTTGCATTCATTTTAAAGAAGCAAATGGCTATATGTTATAATGGGTTTGATCCTTGGACTTAGGAGATCATTTGATTGATCCATGAGTTCTACACATGAATGATCTTGATAATGAAACCAATGCTGCTTTTCCTTACAGGGTGCAGACCCACAAATCTTGGGGAAAGGACGAGAGAGTGCACTTTCACTAGCATGTAGTAAAGGATATACAGACATTGTCAAGATGCTACTGGATTGTGGAGTTGATGTAAATGAATATGACTGGGTAAGTTTCTCAGTGGGAGTGCAAGTGCCATATCTATCTATCTATCTATCTATCTATCTATCTATCTATCTACTTACCTACCTACCTATTTATCTATTCATAGACCAAGGCTTGGGTACATATCACAGCACTTGATATGCCCCCAGTAGAGCATAAAGGGTGAATGTCTGCTTTAGAATTTTTTTTGATACTCTTCATTTTGTGAATAGGTGATATGGTAAATTGGATTGTATAAACATATTTAACTTTATTTTCCTTGATTGTATAATTCTGGGTTTTGGCTCTTCATACCAATCAAAATGGCTAAGATAATTTTCAAGGGACTTAAGTTCATCAAGTTAAGCTTGACACAGAAACAAGATAAAGGTCTGTCATTTTAACATATTATTCTACAACTTTCCTATAATGTATTCGATCTTGTCCATCCCTCTTTTCTACTTCTTCCTCTTCTTTTTTAACCTTGGGAAAGAATACCTACCATGTCTTATTTTTCTGCAATTTCTGCTCTGTGTCATCTTACAAAACTATTAGAATACCACAATGGCAACTTCTCTGACCTGGTTTAATTCCTGAACACTTTCTTCTTGTTATTTTTCCAGGATCTGAGGGCACCTATGGCTTGTAGTTCCTTTCCACATTCCATGTAGCCATGATACCTGAATGCTTCCTATAGTATTCTGGTCATCAGGCTGAGTTGTAGCCCAACCACAGGAAAGCCATCTAATTAGTGGGTGCAAGCTAAAGTCTAGTTCACAGAAGAAAATCCACCTCTCTTTCTCTTGCTTTGATAAGGAAAAGATGAATTGGGACGATATGATACACTTTGCTAATAAATAAATTGAAATTTTGGGACAAATGGTTTTATCATTGAGCTATGCAAAGGAAATTTTATTTTTTTTCTCTCCTCAGAATGGTGGTACACCCTTGCTCTATGCTGTTCATGGGAATCATGTGAAATGTGTCAAAATACTCTTAGGTAATTATTAATAATACAAATTAAACCTATAGTGCCCAAAATGTGTTGTGGCAGTGAATTCAGAGGTAGTGTGGGGTATTTTGCTAAATAAATGGAACTGTCAGTGTATTCACTGGAGCACCCTAAGGGCATTGTGAAGTAAGAGTTCAGGAACTTGTTAAACAATGAGATTTAACCTTCATGTACATATTCCTAAATGTCATTTTGTTTTAAAAAGAACATGGTGCTGATCCAACTGTAGAAACTGATTCTGGATATAATTCTATGGATCTCGCTGTAGCCTTGGGCCATCGTAGTGGTGAGTATTCAAGTGCTCTCCTTTTTACTATTGCTGTCCTTTTTATTGTCAGTTGGTTAGTTTAACCACTTAATAGGTTTTGTTATGCATATTCGAATGGGCATTTTAGAACCATGGCCTGTTAAATCAGGAGTCCTCCCAAATGTTTCTTGCTGCTTCTTTAAAGAACAGCATTCTTTACTCTTTACATAGCTAAGAAAAGATAAATATTATGTGTATCAATTCCCTTTTAATGTCAAGATAAAAATATTCCTAATGTTATAAATGGCTGTTTGTTTGTAAAGTGTGTGTGGATAATGACAATGTGTATATATGTGTGTGTGTGTGTATGTGTACTTACATGTATGGCATTCAGCTTTGTTCGGGTATTTTCCCACGTCATAGTAGTTGTGCTTTTAAAGTTGTAGCGACGTTTCGGCAGATGAGATTCTGCCGAAACGTTGCTACAACTTTAAAAGCACAACTACTATGATGTGGGAAAATACCCGAACAAAGCTGAATGCCATACATACACACACACACATATACATACATGCAATGTAGTTAGAACTAAGCTTTTCACCAATGCTTGGTTGTAGTACAGCATGTTCAAGGGATAACACAATAGAACTTTAATAATCTAAAAAAACCATCATGTGTGGCTACACAAGGCATAAATGTATTTGCAGTGACACATTGTATATATGTATACATATGTATACAGGATGGTAGCTATGCTATTATCAATGTCAAGGCTTGGGAACAGCGATTACTCCTAACAATGCATTCAAACAGCAAATCTTATTTTTTCTATATAGAAGTGAAGGGTAGAAAATCTGTATCTTGGGTCTGAACTCCCACCCAACACCGCTAACCACAGGCACTCTGAATTAGGTATATCGCTGGGTGTAACTTGGTTCTTTTTCTTCACAAGTGTAATCAACTGTGTATTGGAAACTAATAGGTGTATGCCTAATGCATATATCAACTATTACAAAATCTTAGTCCTCACGTTTCAGTACTTTTAGAAGTCCCCGGTTTAAATAATTGAATGCTAACCGTTTTCCTCTATTTCAGTTCAACAGGTTATTGAGACTCATTTATTATCACTCCTTCAAAATATCAAAGAATAATAGCTATGGAATAAGAGAAGAAATGGACTTCAGTATAAAAGCATCTCTTAATTGGTAACTTAGTCCGTTCTTCATTCTTACTACTTACCAAATGTGCTTGAAATGGTGACATGCATATTTAGCAGTTGATTTATAAGTAGAAGAGACTGCCTTTTGCCCCAGCAAACCTTTCCTGTACCATAGTGCTGGTTTATTGTTCCAATATTTCATAGTAGGATCTATGACATTAGAATTTCTGTTTCAATGTTTAGATACAAGAATGGGTAATAACAGCACTTGAAAGCTGAATTCAGAAAAATGTTACGGGATTTATTCAAGCAGTTTTTTTTCTTTTGAGTTATATTTTAGGTGAACCATGTTCATTTGAGTGATGTTCATAGATGTTTAAAATTCAAACTTATCTATTTATTTCTATTTCATGTATGCACTTGAAAAATGAATTGTTAAAAGTACTATGACAATACACAAAATTATATTACATACCGATGTATGAATTATACATTTCAAACTGATAGCAAGATAGCTTTTCAGACTGTATTAATCGAATTAATTTGATTCAGTTAGTGCCAGTAGGGGTTTTATAATGTGTAGTTCTTGTGTCTATTTATTTTCATGTATAGACAACAATCAGTTCTTTGCTGTTTTTAGAAAGGATTTTTAATGTTTACAACTGACTTCTAAAATCTTAGAAGAACAGACTTTTTTATACAAATAGCTTGTTTTATTTCAGTGCCTCTATTGAAATATACAGGTTTAATATGATTTTCTACTATAGATTAAGTATTTGAATTGGATAGAGAAATAATATATACACAAGAAACAAAAATATTGCTGGCTGAAGCTATAACCTGGGATGACTGAACAAAATTGTTAACATTAGCACACTATTACAATTAAAAATATTGGTGTTTTAATTAAGAACCACCTAAAATAAATGTATCTTATTGTAATGTTGGTTCAAAGCCTTCTGTTCTAGGAATGTTATAAAAAATACCACTAAGTGAAATTACAGCCGATTGTAACAAAATTTCAACCCATGCATTGATATTATCCTGAAAATTATCTTTATTGCATGTATGGAATTGTTAATTCTCACATAAGACACAAAAAGCATGAGGTAAACATGTTTCATTGAAAATAGACATATGCCTCTAAACTGTTGTGGGGAAATTGTGCAATACTTAATATATGGTAGATTCGCCTACTATGAGAATCTTACTAGCCAAAGAGAATCCTTTAGCTTCTGCTACTTATTTTTAGGTGGCCAAAAACGTATGCATCTCTCAATTTATATTTAATATACTATATGTTATTATGTTCTCAAGCCTTCTGAGATAAAATGCTGTTTTGGTTTTATAAAATTGTGACTGGAAAGCAAACCTACAGTTTTAAACTGTTTTCGGAGTGTTTTATATAAAGTACAAATTGTGTTTTTGAGCTGTTTATCATGATTTTTTTCATGTTTTTGTATTGTATTTTTTATAAATAGCTTTTCCTCAGTATTTATAACTAGCAGCAAGCTATATATTGCCATTATTCCATGCTTCCAATTCACCATTAAATAGTAATCAGTTTTTCCTGTAGTTCACTGAAATTGTAAAAGATGTTAGCACACCATTTGCACACAGTATTCATTACCATATAAATAAAAATACATAAGTCATGTGGATAATTTGTCTTCTGCAACAGCATGTTGAAGACCGCAGTTCTGGTCCCAGAAGTTTTATTGAAAGCAACTAGGCTGCACCAACACAATTATAGCTATTTGGGTAAATGGCAGTGTTGGATACTTTCCTACTATATAACTACCCCAGACTTAAGCAATCTTAAGTAGTTATCTACAGTAGTCAATTTTAATGAGCATATTTTTGTTTAAAATGGGATGCTGTACACTTCATGCATCTTAACTGCTTTTTTTTCATTATAATTAAGGCAAAGACAAGGATTTGCCATTCATTTCTTCATTAATGGCAATATGAAACTGATTTGCCATGACCTTCCAAGAAATTGTTTCAACTTTTCCGTGCAGCCTATAAGTTCTAGGTTTTCCTGGTGTTCTTTCATCCAAATAGTACCCAAGGTAGATTACTTATCCATGGACTGGATTAATTACTATCTCTAAAATAACACTAGGAAAGAAAGTCTTCTTTATGTGTCATTTTAGAGCATAGCACAAATGTCAAATTATTCATCTTGCCTGTGCCTATCTTTTTTAAACAGGTAACTTGTCACAAAAGCCCTTCTCTGGTCTTAGACTGAAATACAGATTTCTACAAGCTTTTGTCCAAGCACTAGTGCAGCTGTTATTTTATCTAAAAATCAAGATTCATTCAACTGAGACAACATGCATTGTCATGAACTGTACACTTGTGAACATTTTGTTGATGTCTACTGTACTTATAAATTATTCCTGTGAGATACCAGTGTCTAAATCAGAGATCTTCAAACTTGATAGCTTTAAGACTTGTGGACTTCAACTCGCAGAATTCTTCCTCCAGTCATGTTAGCTCAGGAATTCTGGGAGTTAAAGTCCACAAGCCTTAAACTTGCCAAGTTTGAAGACCCTTGGTCTAAATAATTGTTTCAAATTCAGTATTCTTTGCATCTAGACATAATGAACACAATTCTGCTAATGATCCAGTTGTTCAAGACAACGTATAGTCATTTGCTGTTAATAAACTGCTGTCTTAAAAATAAAAGCAAAGAAACCAGAACAGCTCCTAATGGTAGTTTTATCGATGTGTAGTTATTTTGAACAATTATTTATATTAACTTCCACACGGAAAGGAGAATGGCAAACAATTGCTGTAAAGAATAAACTAAAAAAAAAATCACCCTATCACTAAAATCTCAGCAACTCAAAAGATTTTTTCCTTTATTATTTGAAAGTCTATTGTAAATGCCTTTAGGCTCTTCTGAAGCCATGTGATCTTATTATTCTGCATTGTCCACACTGTATAGATATGTTAGCAAAGATCATGCATACATATTCATTTAAATAAACAAAGGAATTTTTTTATATTAAATAACATCCTTTTAAGTTTGCCTTCTCCATTTTAGGCTCCTCAATATCAGATTTCTTGTATAATTCTCAGCTAATAAAGATGTCCTACTGTTAAGAACTTGAAGAGTTGAAGTCCAGTATATCAAGGGGAGACCCAATGAAGATTAAGCCAACCATGAAACCTTTAAATAAAAGGTTAGTGCCAGCCTATCTATAACTGAGTAATCTAACCTGTCTTTTATCCAGATAAAAGCTGAACCACCATCAATAATCTAATTGTGAACTTAAATCCATTTTATTATATGTTAGCATAAATAATCGGTAATGCAAAAGAGGTGGCTCTGGAAGATTTTAGGTTTTTATCAAAATAAAATTTAAAGCCAAGAACCTTCATTTCCCACTACTATCCACAAGTGATTGTTTTAATTGTATACAAAAATACTAATAAAGTATTTGCCTAAAATTTAGTCTTTATTAGCTTTTGGACTTAGTACTTTTCCATTTTTTGCGCTTCCAGCCCATTTGCACTGTGCATTAACAACTGAAGAGAGCTGCATTGAATTGAGTTTCCAAATATTACAGATCTTAAGACTAAGATCAGTACAAAATATTACAAGTAAAAGTCACAATATAAAATAGCAGCTCCACATAATTTTCAAGTTTTACTGAACATGACAATTCAATTTGCTTCATTTTTGGAAGCCTCATCAAAGTTCTCCACGAGATCTGCAAAGGAAAAAAAATGGAATGAGGTTTTTTTTCCCCAGTGGAAAAAGTCCTGTGCTTTATGCTAACATCTAAAGCATTTTAGAATTGTATATCTGTCAGAGGGCTTTAAGTATTAAAGCTTCCTGCATAACTATACAACTATCTCTACCTCATATACTTACACAACTGATCTGGGGGAAGCAATGCATTGTAATGCAACTATTTTTGATCAATTGCAGTCCTTCGGTTACATCTATTCATTCAAAGTTATAACAACACTGACCAAGAGGCCTGTCCATGAGTTGCAGCTGTTGAAATGTCCCCATGATCGTGCAACTGCAGCCAAGCATTCAGTGCCTATTCACAATTGTGACACAGAATTCCACAATCATATGGCTACCATCTATGACCGTTCCCAGGTTCCAGCAAGCGAATGTTCACTTGTGAACATTACTGCGTTGATGTCTACTGTACTTATCAGTTATTCCTGTGAGGTACTAATGTTTAAATACTTGTTTCAAATTCAGTATTTGAAGCTGAAAGGAAATCACAAAAGTAATCATGTGATGTCCTTGCCTGACAACCCAGGGCAATACATTTAACAGCAGCAATCAGGGATGCCTGAAATGTTGTGCCTAAGTATCATACGGGTAACTTTGCACTTTACAACTGCATCATTTGGCAATGGAAATTCCAGTCCCAACTTCTGTTGTAACATGAGGGTTACGTATATACACCAGAAGTCTAATCCATATTCCACTTCTGGACATAACAAAAATTGGGCGAAAAATACTTCCAGATAAAGTGGTAAGAACACAAATCTTTTCAAATCCTGACCTTAAAAATAAATGAGGCTAACAATTTTTACCTGGAACTTCGTCATCATCATCTTCTCCAGTAGCAAGAGGTGCTTTTCCATCCACAGCTGAAATCACATATTAAAACATGGATGAAGCATCTAATGTTTTAACTTTCCATCACAATGTCTCTTACTCACTTGCCTCAGAATGAGTCTTACTGAATTCAATGGCACTTCCAAACAGACATATTTGTGAATGTAATATATTTAATACAGGAATAGGCCACCCAAAGTATGTCTAGAATTTTGTTGTCTGCCATTTTTCAAAATAATTTAAGATCTCACGCATATATTGTTTGCTTTTTGGCAAGGAGTCCAAAATTGCACGTAATAAAATAAGGAAGAATCAGTCCAACATTATTCAAGCTAGAAAAAATATTGACTGCTCCCAAGGTAAAATCAAAAGCACTTCTGATTTCAATGTTGTATTTGAGATCATAACTTGTAATATTTTTCAACCAATTTCTATCTTCTTTTAGCCTTGAAAAAGTACACCAGATATTTTCAACCAGTTTCTTCATATGCAGAAAATCTGGCTATTCATACTAATTAGTCAAGGGAAGATGTTAAAATTCCTCTTTTGTTCAGGAACTAAGAAAAAATGTACTTGCAGTTTTCTCAAGTCATTAAAAATGTCTTGTCAGTAGAGGAACAGAGTTATCATCAGTCTTTTCTATTCCACTCTTTGGAAGAGGACATGAAAGACATTTGAATTATCTAAAATTCCAGGTAATACTTTTTTGCATGACACACTGAATCATTTTTCTAATTACTAGGCAACAATTTTTGCCTATTTTCTATTACAAGCATGAAGATGCAGTTACACTTGTGGGCAAAATTTGTGCCTTCCTGCTTTGATTTACATCCAAGTCACAATAAAGGTTTTTTTTTAGTGGAATAAGAAAATAATCCTATTGTCTACTAAGATGAATGCACCCACTTTATTTTTAAAAGCACAATTCCTCCAAAAACCTGATTTTTATCCATTCTTCTTATGCTATTATAATCCCTGCAGCACTAACTCTACACCTATTGTGAAGTCTTTGTGGCCCCAGCCTGTAATTATACAAAAACTTTATCTCAAATCTTCTCTGCATAACTCAGCATCCAGAATATACTTTTAATATAGATCTTTTATCCATTTGTCAAAAAGATCTCCTGTTTATCATGTCTTCTTCAATCTGGTTATCAAGTGAAAATAACGAACAATATATTAAGTTCTAATTAAGAATGCATTCCCATGGAAACCCAAATTTAGCATCTTTTTCATAAAGACCACAAGCCTTTATGTATCTAGGTACTTAATAGAAATGCTTCCAGAATATTCATTCTTAATTATAGTGGGTCTTTACTTACATTGTTTTGGTAGAGCTTCTGCCAGTCTTCTCAGGCTTGTCAGACTATCAGCACCAAGCTGATTTAAAATGCTAGGCAACATTTCAGTCAGCTGTTTTGTCTCAGCATGGCCTGTGATTGTAAAAGTGTTAGCAGCTAGTGAGGCTTGAACTTTAGGATTGTTGAAGTGAATTACAGTGCCTTGGTTGGTGAACATGTTGACCTATAATACATGAAAAATATCTATTAATTGTACCAATACATTTTTATATGAATGCACTCCATTTCACCCATTTCCTACTAACTCTATTTTCTTAAAAGCAGCATTTTGTCAAGTCTTTATAAGCACTGAAAGAAAAAGCTGTTACCTCTTCAATCCCAGATATGTTATTTACTCCCAATTTCTTTAAGGAAAACTGAAGTTTCTTGTCATCTGCTGTAGCTGTTCTGTGAACTACCTTCTTCTTTCTACGAGCAGTACCCTACAGATAAAAAGTACATTTTAAAGTCTTCAAAATGTTGTCTTTAAACACTTATGCATAGCACGTAAATGTCAGGCAGCCTAATTCTATCTCTGGATGCATTAAGCACTAAAGCTAAGCAATTCCACTGATAAACAAGAATGAAGCAAATTCAATAAAATTAGCTGAAAACAGACTTATACATATTATTCATTATACTTATATTCCAAATGCTGAAAATATATTTTTCAGAGAATTAACATGAACATTAGTAGCACAGATATATCTAAAGAGCTCAATAACTTCTAACAGAAGAAACAGTAAGATCTGAAACATTGTTAAATACTTTTGGCAGTTTATACCCTGTTTTCTTTAAGTAATTCAGTTTTCATAGGCAAACATACAAAGCATCTGTGAAGAAAATGAAAGCAGATACTGTTGCACCCATCAGTCTTTCATTACTAGAAGGTGACATATATTATATACAATAAATCAAACCAAAAAAAAGCCCCTTTCCACAAAACATCCTCCAAAGTTCACGTTCTCTTTCTTTGAAGGAAAAAATTGTGAGTGAAATTCTGTCAGGAGGCCATGAGGACTAAACAAAAAAAAAAAGGAAAAATATAAAACATGCTAGATTGGAATTGTATTTTAAGTCAGTGGGTTTAATGACTGCTGAATGGTGAGTCAACGTTTTAAGAGTCCTTTTTTTGAATCACATCGATTATTCTTCATGGAAATGGATTTCCACATTTTTGTACAAGTAGCACAGCTACTTGTATATGCAGAAAAAATAATTCTAATTGAGTAATTCTGAAGTGTTTTACAAATGATGGGTGCCAATTAATCAACCAGGATAAAGTGACAAATATACAGTAGCAATTTTTCTCCTAATTTTATGAACAATAATGACCCATGAGGTATAGATTGGACTGAAAGATTGGAATGCTGCTCAATAAGCTTCCTAGCTAAGAGTATGAACCCAATACCTTCAGTACTATACCATACTCTGAAAACATGAAGAGTTTAATTCAATTGAATCAACTAAATTCACAGGCTAAGACATCATTATTTTCAGTGCAAAAACTATACTGCTTTACGCTTAATACCATTTAGTGTATATGATGAAAATTATATGTTCCAGCTGTAAACTTGCTGGGACCTGAAATTCCAGACTCCACCCTTAATTAAAGATAGGTTTCTTATGCACAGTGAATCTAATACTGATGGTATCAGAAAGGTATAATACACACCATTTTGTACACAGACCATGTTTAATCTTTGAACAGAATACCATGTGGTATCTATGCAAGACAGCCATATAATTAATTTATAGGCTTTCTTCCAAATAAGTAGCCACAAGACTATATTCCAGAGCAGTGGTGGTGTGCCATTGGTTTAGCAATCTGTCTGATGGAAAAAGTCTTACTGAATTTGTTAAATCTTTACTTTAGGAACATGTAGCATAAAAAGATAAAGTCTGTGTTAACATAAACCCAACTCCTGAAGTCCTCAAAAAATGTCCAGAGTTTTCTTAGTAACAGTATGTGATTCATTACTGCCTTCTTCTAAGATGTTTCTAGACTTTTCAGCCTAAAGCCTTAGTATCTTAGGGAACTTCCACTGGACTACTAACTACACCCAACTGTTCAATTTACTAGCTTACAATATACTGTGTTTCTCCAA